CAACCGATAGCTAGAAAGGCGGGATCCAAGAGTCAATGCTCGATCCTGTAGGCACAAATGGGTGAGTACGAATGGGTGAATACACACACACACATACCAAACACCACAAACAAACCACATACATACACGCACACACTCACTAAACACACTACTTATCATACGATAACCAAAAGCTCTAATTGGATATTGCTAATCCATAAATTTATATTAGTTTCCCCTACACTATACTGTCAAATACAACAGCTAAATACACTAGGATACACGAGAATACAGGAGTGACAATCGCTTAAAGATTATATTCTTTAGGGATGAATTATCTTATGTGAATAAAGTTGAAGGAAGATATAGCTGAATACCGTCGCAACCTGTCCTCACACTTGATCCGTCTTAATTTTGAGTGCAATTAATCGACCAATCCGCTTTAAATGCGACGCATTAGTAAAAAAAAATAAAAGCTACGTAATATTAACGTTTTCTATGCATTTCATCGATAGGTTAGATAGGTTGTTTGGGTTCGTAGTTTTCTGGTAAGGGGAAAACAGTCGTATTTCTTGGAGAATGGCGAATTACTTGATAAGTCAATTCCTGTCAGTGTGGGACGGGCCCCCGTCTCTTCCCAATGATCCCTACAGAGGTCAACAATGTCCGCCGTCAAACGTACCCAACTGTGGATGGGTACAAGTGACAGGACGAACAATCCAGCGGGTTTTCTTCCTATTGGGGAGTGTATTGTCCATGTTGCTATGGCGGTGTGTCCACTTACAGGATGAGTGGCGCTGCCCAATACTGTCACTATGGCGGTGTGTCCACTCACAGGATGAGTGGCGCTGCCCAATACTGTCACTATGGCGGTGTGTCCACTCACAGGATGAGTGGCGCTGCCCAATACTGTCACTATGGCGGTGTGTCCACTCACAGGATGAGTGGCGCTGCCCAATACTGTCACTATGGCGGTGTGTCCACTCACAGCATGAGTGGCGCTGCCCAATACTGTCACTATGGCGGTGTGTCCACTTACAGGATGAGTGGCGCTGCCCAATACTGTCACCATGGCGGTGTGTCCACTCACAGGGCGAGTGCCGCTGACCAATACTGTCACTATAGCGAAGTGCCCACTCACAGACTGACTGCCACTGCTCAATACTGTCACTATAGCGGTGTGTCCACTCACAGGATGAGTGGCGCTGCCCAATACTGTCACTATGGCGGTATGTCTACTCACAGGATGAGTGGCGCTGCCCAATACTGTCACTATGGCGGTGTGTCCACTCACAGGATGAGTGACGCTGCCCAATACTGTCACTATGGCAGTGTGTCCACTCACAGCATGAGTGGCGCTGCCCAATGCTGTCACTATGGCGGTGTGTCCACTCACAGGATGAGTGACGCTGCCCAATACTGTCACTATGGCGGTGTGTCCACTCACAGGATGAGTGACGCTGCCCAATACTGTCACTATGGCGGTGTGTCCACTCACAGGATGAGTGACGCTGCCCAATTCTGTCACTATGGCGGTGTATCCATCACAGGATGAGTGGCGCTGCCCAATACTGTCACTACAGCGGTGTGTCCACTCACAGGATGAGTGGCGCTGCCCAATATTGTCACTATGGCGGTGTGTCCACTCACAGGATGAGTGGCGCTGCCCAATACTGTCACTATGGCGGTGTGTCCACTCACAGGATGAGTGACGCTGCCCAATACTGTCACTATGGCGGTGTGTCCACTCACAGGATGAGTGACGCTGTCAATACTGTCACTATGGCGGCGTGTCCACTCACAGGATGAGTGACGCTGCCCAATACTGTCACTATGGCGGTGTGTCCACTCACAGGATGAGTGACGCTGCCCAATACTGTCACTATGGCGGTGTGTCCACTCACAGGATGAGTGGCGCTGCCCAATACTGTCACTATAGCGGTGTGTCCACTCACAGGATGAGTGACGCTGCCCAATACTGTCACTATGGCGGTGTGTCCACTCACAGGATGAGTGACGCTGTCAATACTGTCACTATGGCGGTGTGTCCACTCACAGGATGAGTGGCGCTGCCCAATACTGTCACTATAGCGGTGTGTCCACTCACAGGATGAGTGACTCTGCCCAATACTGTCACTATGGCGGTGTGTTCACTCACAGGATGACTGTCACTGCCCAATACTGTCACTATGGCGGTGTGTCCACTCACAGGATGAGTGACGCTGCCCAATACTGTCACTATGGCGGTGTGTCCACTCACATGATGACTGTCGCTGCCCAATAAACTCGCCCCTCGGGGCACACAACTTAAAAACAAAAACTTAAAACTTAAACGTCGTCCATCGTCGGGGTAGTGAAGTAACCAGACGGGCGCCCTCGTGCCCCCCGGCTCCTTTACGGTACTTTGTCGGTACGTGTTTGAGCTGATAAATGTTGACGCCTAGCCGTCCCGAGCACCATATCAAGGCTGATAGGGGATATCGAAGGTGGTACCTAGACGCGAGCATTTTTCTTTTTTATCAGCGGGAGTCGGGAGGCTGAAGGCGCCGACACGACGTGTGCAACAAGACGAAGAGCGCCACCGTTCGACCCTCGGGCGGGCGCGGGCGGACCCCGAAGAGCGCCACCGTTCGACCCTCGGGCGGGCGCGGGCGGACCCCGAAGAGCGCCACCGTTCGACCCTCGGGCGGGCGCGGGCGGACCCCGAAGAGCGCCACCGTTCGACCCTCGGGCGGGCGCGGGCGGACCCCGAAGAACGCCACCGTTCGACCCTCGGGCGGGCGCGGGCGGACCCCGAAGAACGCCACCGTTCGACCCTCGGGCGGGCGCGGGCGGACCCCGAACCGAGGAATTATTAAACGCCCGACAGGTATAATGGTTGTCGACGGGAAAATTGATGTCGGGGTTCTTGAGATGATCTCGGGGCTTAGCGTCCCCGCGGCTCTGTCCTCGACCAGGCCTCCTCGTGGCTGTGGACTGGTCAACCAGGCTGTTGGACGCGGCTGCTCGCAGCCTGGCATGATAGAAACTGACAGTCTGGTATATGGGATAAATTGTGAAAGCCGACTGTCTGGTATATGATGGATATCTCCCACGTCACACTCTCAAGATCTTTAATGTCGCAATCCTGTCCCCTCCCCGTCTCACTCTTTCTTCTGGTGTGATATTAATATCTTCAGATCTGTCTTTGTCTGTCTTGCAGCTCTGTGACAGCTTATAGGCAATCTTTAAGCTTTAAAAGAAAGTTAACAAATAACTTAAATCAACAAATCCATTTGTTAAGAGTACCTTGGGATTCGAACCCGGATCACGAAATGAGCGTTACCACAGAATCGAAGAATTCTATCTTGACCTACAAGTGGTGAATGCTTGTGGGGGGGGGGGAGGGGGAGGTGGGCACTGAAGTATACTCCTTTATTCACAGATATACCCCATTATCCACTGCGTTATACTCCCTTATCCAGAGGTATATTCTCTTATCCACCGATGCATACTCCCCTCTCCCCTGAGATATACTCACATCCATTGAGGTATACATCCTTACCCACTGAAGTATACATCCTTACCCACTGAAGTATACTCCCTTAGTCACTAAGGTAAACTCTCTTATACACCGAGGTATACTCCCTTATCCACTGAGGTATACTCCATTAACCGCTAAAGTATACTCTTATCCACTGAGGTATACTCCCTTACCCACTGAGGTATACTCCATTAACCGCTTAGGTATTCTCTTATCTACTGAGGTATGTTCCTTAATCCACTGAGGTATACTCCCTTATCCACTGAGGTATGCTCCCTTATCCACTGAGGTATACTCCCTAATTCCTGAAGTATATTCCCTTATCCCTGAAGTATACTCCCCTATCCATTGAGGTATACTCCATGAACCGCTTAGCTTGAGAGGTTCCTCTATGTGTAATGTTTTATGTGTATGATTAAGACGGTGGGTGAGAGCATACCTCTCCAGGTATGCTACCTCTCCAGGTATGCTACCTCTCCAGGTATGCTACCTCTCCAGGTATGCTACCTCTCCAGGTATGCTACCTCTCCAGGTATGCTGTAGGTGTCTACTATCAACAGCCTAATGATCGGCACTTGTTAAAACAGTCTGTAGAAGCCAATTACAACAGCACATAGAAGCCAATTACAACAGCACATAGAAGCCAATTACAACAGCACATAGAAGCCAATTACAACAGCACATAGAAGCCAATTACAACAGCACATAGAAGCCAATTACAACAGCACATAGAAGCCAATTACAACAGCACATAGAAGCCAATTACAACAGCACATAGAAGCCAATTACAACAGCACATAGAAGCCAATTACAACAGCACATAGAAGCCAATTACAACAGCACATAGAAGCCAATTACAACAGCACATAGAAGCCAATTACAACAGCACATAGAAGCCAATTACAACAGCACATAGAAGCCAATTACAACAGCACATAGAAGCCAATTACAACAGCACATAGAAGCCAATTACAACAGCACATAGAAGCCAATTACAACAGCACATAGAAGCCAATTACAACAGCCTGTAAAAAAATCAATTATAGCAGCTCATATGACTCATATGAAATTCCACTCCCCTAAAATTGGCCCCCTTTCCTTCTCTCCACACTACTACTCTAAAACATCACGTCTTCCCTATCCCCCCCTCTCCTATCCACCTATCCCTTGCTAATGCCCTAAGCTCCCCCCCCCCCCCTATGGTATATGATGGTTTATACCATCATATACCATTTGATGATGGAATTTAATTAAATTAAATTCCCCCCTCTATTCCTTTCAGATGTATATTATTGTCTCAATAAACGAACATGAATTAAGATTTCCACTCTTCCTTTTCCGAATGCCCTATATATAAAAAATTAAAATCTTCCCCCTTTGCCCACTTACCTTAATGGCTTACCCACCTGCCTATCTTTCCTTCCCCTGTTGAAGAACCCCTTGGTGAGCACTAAGGAGGGTGCCCCTTACCCTAGTACAGTTGAGCTCACTTTCCCAGGGACGGCGGCGGTGACAGCGAGAGGCGGAAGGTCCACGTCAAGAGACCCATGAATGCCTTCATGGTGTGGGCGCAGGAGGCCCGTCGCAAGCTCTCCTGCTCCCACAGGCAGGTCCACAACGCCGAGCTCTCAAAGTCCCTCGGCAGGATATGGAGGTGAGTAAGGGTGTGTGTGTGTGTGTAGGGGGGATGGGGAGGGAGGGGGTGAGGGATAGGAAGGAGAGGGGAGGGGGAGTTGGAGAAGGTATTACATAAGGGAATTAAAAGAGGGGACCAAAGCAAGGGAGAAGAAGGGGGTATGGGGTGGGGGATGTGAAGTGTGTAAGGAAAGGTAAAGACTTAAAGGAAAGGGGTAGGGGTAGGAGGAAGGGGGAAACGGGGTATGGTGGAAAGGGGTAGGAGGAAGGGGGAAGGGGGAAACGGGGTATGGTGGAAAGGGGTAGGGGTAGGAGGAAGGGGGAAGGGGGAAACGGGGTATGGTGGAAAGGGGCAAAAGACTGTGGAGAAATAATGAGATCATTCCACCAATAGGTAACAGAAGACATCAACGCCAACAGTAATTAACAGTATTAAGTAAGCCAACAACGGTTTTGATGATGCAAGTAAATGCTCAGCAAAACGGACTTGTGTCCATGTAATGTTATATTTAACAACAACAACAAGATAACTAACACAAATAATGTTTACAAAACATCGTCGCGTTCACCTGCTTTTTGTCATGTATAATATTTACATTTAAAATACTTGAGTATGATAAAAGTCATGATAGAACTTGATCAATAAACCAGGGACCCTCTCAATGGGTTTCAAAATCCTCTTGGCGTGATTTGAGAAAGTCTTGAGGGGGGGGGGGGAGGGGCACAGACTGTTAACCGACATCACTTGTTAATAGCCACTCTAACTGGGCCCCGTCACTGTCGCAGCCATATTTCAACTGGACCCCGTCACTGTCGCAGCCATATTTCAACTGGGCCCCGTCACTGTCGCAGCCATATTTCAACTGGACCCCGTCACGCCCGTACACTATACAACTACACCCCTCCGTCACCCTATACATCACTCTTAATACACTACATATATATTATATATATATATATATATATATATATATATATATATATATATATATATATATATATATATATATATATATATATATATATACCCCCTTCCATACCCCTACACTGCTGCCAGACTCTATACATTTACACCCCTCACACTTCTGCCCCTAATCCTATATGTGCACAGTAAAATAACATACTGGAGTGTACGTTATGAAAAAAGAGAGGCAGAGCAGAGAAGAGCAGAGGTGCCGTGGACACAATCAGAGAACACTGAACACCAGAGGCCCACAGTTGTTCAAAACTCTCCCAGCAAGCATAAGGAATATTTCCCAAACAAAAGTTGAAGCCTTCATGAAAAAAAATGGATAGTTTTAAGTGCAAACTTTAGTGATCGAGGTGTTTAGGTTTTTTGGACGAGATCACCGGCTAAATTGATGGTTCAACTTTCACTCGGGGATCTGGACGCGTCCAACAGACCTGCTCCACACGAAGCCTGACCTAATTACGACACACACCAAGCATTTCCCGCTCGTAAAACCCACAAACTCCTGGGAGTCGGTCAAGTACAGACACTTTACCCCAAACTCCCTGTCGGAAGCCCTTGGGGCCGGGACAGCCATGCCCCCATTGTGGCCCTCTATGTACCCACGCCAGCTGCTGCCCTCAGGGCCACAAACACACCAGGGGAATTGCCCTATTTACAAAGTCTGGTCTAACCCCCCCGCAGCTATAACTCCTGCAGTAAGACTGACAAATGGCACGCGATTTATGAGGCCAATCGTCACCAAAGGCTTTTAGATGGTGGGTGTCAGGTGGTCGGTTCGCGCAAAAGGCTCTCGCTAGGTATTTCCATGATACTAGTAAGTTCTCTCGAGTGACTTTGGGTTTAAGTTTCTGTGTTTATCAAGATGGATGACGCGGGTGTGGGGGATATGTGAGAAGTCAAGGTTAGCAGAGTTTAACCAGGTTGAATATATTAGTAACTGTGGCCGGCCTCTGGAGCTGGTGGCTGGTGGCTCACTTGGCAAAAATGTGCCGCTCTCCACTTGGGTGCGGCGAGGTGCGGCTGGGGTGTCCACTGCCTCCACCACCACCACCATTACTACCATCACCACCACCACCACCACTGATACCATCACCATCACCACCACTGATACCATCACCATCACCACCACTGATACCATCACCATCACCACCACTGATACCACCACCATCACTACCACTGATACCATCACCATCACCACCACTGATACCATCACCATCACCACCACTGATACCACCACCACCACTGATACCACCACCACTGATACCACCACCATCACCAACACTGATACCATCACCACCACTGATACCATCATTACCACCACCACTGATACCACCACTATCACCACCACTAATACCATCACCACCACTGATATCATCATTACCACCACCACCACTACCACCACCACCATCACCACCTCTGATACCATCACCAACCTAACCACAAATACCAATAATCCGTCTCTTTCTCTACCAACTGTTATACCATTCACGTTCTCATGGAGCTGAGTCTTGTCGGGAGCGAACAACAACAGTCTCGCCGATCTGGCAATTACCAGAAGGACATAAAAGTTTCTATTCCTAATAAAAGTCTTAAAATAAGAATCATGAAACATGAACCTAAAAAAAAAAATAGACACCAATTTCATTGAATATAAAACTACTGAAACAATTCATATTTGGTATTCCACACATGCTTTTGTTTTTGTCAGAAGAAGGCTAATTGGCGCACCATAAAAGCTACATATATGTGCAGCAAGACTAAAGGAAACAAGGGAAAACGGTCACCGTCACGCGACACCAGATTTCGCGCGCCTTTCTCAAGCTCCCGCCAATTTACGAGGTACTAATTTCTGGCGCGCTTTTTCATGTCCCGGCACCAACCCGGGACGCCGGAGAGTGACAGACGGCATCAATCATCGACGGGCCGAGGACAGACCTTTCTTATTTTGGGTTCGTTTCGTTGCGCACTGATCTGGGAGAGTATTGGCCTAGTGGACGGGTGTAAACAGCGGCTCCTGGAGCCAGATTCACGAAGCAGTTACTAACAAGCACTTACGAACGTGTACATCTTTCCTCAATCTTTGACGGCTTTGGTTACATTTATTAAACAGTTTACAAGCATGAAAACTTGCTAATCAACTGTTGTTATTGTTAATAAACAGCCTCCTGGTGCTTCGGAGCTTATTAACTGTTTAATAATTGTAAACAAGGCCGCCAAAGATTGAGAAAAGATGACCAGGTTCGTAAGTGCTTGCGTAACTGCTTCGTGAATTTGGCGCCTGGCCTCGATGTTCCGCGACTGCATTGTACCATGGTATACAGCTTCACTCACTTGTTCTTCTATCCTCCTATCCTCTGCTACCTTGCCATGCTGATGTTTAATGATGCCCACTGGTTAGTAGAAGGGTCTTGGGGGGTTAAGTGATTGTTAGTGTATTGGTTCAGCTAGTTCCGTTAGGGAAGAGACCATTCACCTCTTCGGTCTTCCCCGGGTACCCCTTTACTGCTTCCTAATAATTGAAACGAAATATGCCCAACCGTCTCTGTTCTACCGCGAGAATGGAATCCAAGACCATATTGGTTGTGAGGAGAACGCGTACACCACTGTGCTACAGTGCCTGATACTGTAACACAAGTTCTTTTGTAAGTCCTTTTGTAAGTGTAAGTCCTTTTAAATCTTTTCAATTTCGTTTCCTGACGCTTTTAAAACCACAGACCCCAAGACAAGACCACGAAACCTAAGATGGGGCGAGGGGTGTGTGGGGGGGGGGGGTGTATGGGGGGGATATGGGGGGAGAGGGAGAGCGGCACGAGGCTTCTTGACAGAATGAGGGGAAGGTTCCCGGACCACTTGTATCCTGTATCAGGTGCGTCCATAGCAGGTGTGTGCAGAAGGGGTGCAGCAGGAGTACACAGAGGGCTTCAAGTGTAGATATGATAGAGCCCAATAGGCTCAGGAATCTGTACACCTGTTGATTGACGGTTGAGAGGCGGGACCAAAGAGCCAGAGCTCAACCCCCGCAAAACACAACTAGGTGAGTACACACTTGCAGGTGTGTAGACAGCATGGCGACGGCTGCCACTGATCATAAGCCAGATATACAACCAGAGCACAACTCTGCTGAAAACATTTTGCACACCAAAGGGCGGCTCCTTTTCCTTCGCCACACGTCGCCAGGTCGTGTTTGCCATTTGAATTCTTGCGACTGATATCAGCCCTTGTATTCTAGAGTAACAAGGGGAGGAGTTACTATGGGAGCGGCGTTACCGTGAGTGTTGTTCAGCACGAGGGCCGAGTGAGCTACTTAAGGGCGGCCAGAGTCACGTTACACCCATAAATACACTTGTCTCACCTCACGTCATAAACTCCAGTACCCCAGAGGACCATCTGGTACCCCTCTAGGCCTGCGCTGGGATCTTGGGAGGAGGTGGGGGTAGTAGTGGGGGGGGGAGGGGTTATATGGGGCGTGAGGTGATGGGGGTGAGGAGTGAAGAGTGGGGTGAGTTAAGAGAGCCAGGAAGAATGAGGCGTGTGAGGGGGGATGGCTTATGAGGACCTGGAGGGTTGTGGTGAAGGCAGGTATGTACGACACACCTGAATATTGTTGCAAGCTCTTCCATCAACCATCAGCTGACTAATACAACCTACAGACCTGCAGCTTCAAGCTGCAGGTCTGTAGGTTGTAATAACAACATGTCAACATGACGGAAAGTCTAGGAAACTTATTTTCGTCAGGCTGATCCCCCTCCCCTAGCCCTCTCTATCCTCCCTAGCCCACCCCGCTCCACCCCTCCTTGCCTAACCCTATCCACCTTTCCAAGCCTAGCCCTCCCCACCGTTCTCTCGTTGAATCAATCACCTGTACCTCTTCATCCTCTTTTACACCCCCCTCCCATCCCTAAAAAAAACAAAAGTCATGCGCCTATGTGTGTGTTGATGCATCCAGATGGCATTCTTTCCAGTGTAAAGATGGACAGATATGCCCGAGGTGCATGGGTACAATCCTGGTACCTGGAGTGGCATACACCCGAGCATCAGATCTATCC